CTTGGGAGGGTGGAGGGACAGTGCAGGAGGGGAAGACCCTCTATGAGATGTATTGATTTGGTGACTGGGGTAATCGGGATGGGTGTGTCAGAGGCGGTGCAGTTGGCGCAGGATAGAGCAGGGTTTAGACCTGCTGTGCATAAGGTTGCTATGAGTCGGAAGCGACTCGATGGCACATAACAACAATAGGGACATTTGCCATGTAAACAGAGTCATCACTGAACATTTGATCAAAGATTGAAGAGAAGAATCTTCAATGAAAGTACAGAGCAGAACTTCAAAGTCTAATAGAGCCATGTTGGCTGAATGAAATTCTTAAAATTTCCTAGAGTAAGATTAGAAATAAAAAATTCCCCCTACAGCTTTTAAACCAAACAGTAGCTTAATTTGGAAACTCTGCCTTGTGCTATGCCTTTAAAAATGATCTACATGTATCAAATAGAAACCTCTGGGGACAGTGAATTCAATGATGGCGTGAATGAGGACTACTACGTAACTGTTGAAATGCAGTTGTATTATCTCAACAAAACAAGAAACTATAAAGGATATTTAAGAATTTGACTTAACATTTTCATGTTGATTTCCTTTGAGCATGACTCACAGTAACCCTATGAGCCAAGACCTGAAGTTAAGCCCCTCTACAACCATCAACATTTATCAAAATTTATAGTTTCCAGAGGCAAGTTGTTTAGGAATTGGATGCCACTTCTGCTTCCAAACATGTATTAAAAGAAAAGAAAAAAAAACACACGTAAAAAAACCCATGTCATCATCTTCAAACATGCCTGAGAATCCAAAATCTTCATTAATGGTGTTTTTTTTAAAGTGGCTTGTCACTTTCACACTGGGCTTGCATATATTAGGCATAAAAGCTTGAGTCCTCAGCTCCTTACTAAAGGTTGGTGGTTTGAACCCACTTGCTGCTTTATTGGATAAAGATGGACTACTGTTAACAGATTTACAACCCTGGGAGCCTTAGAGAGCAGTTCTGTTCGGTTGCTGTGCATCAGAATTGATTTAAAAATTTTTAATAGTGGTACATGGATTTCATCTCATGGTATGCATAGGAATCAGATCGATTACATGTGCAGAAAAAACTGCTGGAGAAGCTCAGTATCAGCTGTGAAAACTAAGCCAGGAGCTGATTGTGGAACAGACCTCCAACTACTCATAAGCAAGTTCAAGCTGAAGCTGAGGAAAATTAAACCGAATCCACAGAAGCCAAAATATGACTTTGATTTCATCATCTCAGGAACAGGTTTGAGGCCTTAAACACTAATGAGCGAAGACCAGATGAGTTGTGGGAGGATGTCAAATGTATCATCCAGAAAGAGTGCAAACGGTCATTACAAAGACAGAAGAGGAAGAAAAGACCAAAATGGATGTCAGAAGAAACTCTGAAGATTGCACTGGAGCGTAGAGAAGCCAAAGCACAAGGAAGAATTCAAGATACTAAAGAGCTGAACAGAAGATTCCAAAAGGCAGCACGGAATGATAAAGCAAAATATTACAATGAAATGTGCGAGGAGCTAGAGTGGGACAATCAAAAGGGCCGAACTCGCTCAGCATTTCTTAAGCTCAATGAACTGAAGAACAAATTCAAACCTAGAGTTGCTGTCATCAAGGATGCTTTAGGCAGAATATTAAATGATCCAGGAAGTATTAAAAGAAGATGGAAGGAATATACTGAGTCATTGTATCGAAAGGAATTGGAAGATACAGAAGAATTTAATGAAATAACATTTGAGCAAGAGCCTATGGTGATGAAGAAGTTCAAGCTGCTTTGAAGGCAATAGCAAAAAATAAGGCCTCCACAATAGATGGTATACCAATTGACATATTTCAGCTAACAAATGCTGCCCTGGATGTGCTCACCAAGTTGTGCCAAGAAATCTGGAGAACAACCACTTGGCCAACTGACTGGAAGAGATCTCTATTTGTTCCCATTCTAAAGAAGGGTGACCCAACTGAGTGCAGAAACTACAGAACAGTATCATTGATTGCACATGCAAGCAAAATTCTATTGAAGATTATCCAAAATGACTGGAATAGCATATCAGCAGAGAACCGCCGGAAGTTCAGGCTGGGTTTAGAAGGGGTCGTGGTACTAGCGATATTGTAGCCGATGTTAGATGGATCTTAGCTGAAAGCAGAGAATACCAGAAGAATGTCTATCTGTGTTTCATTGATTATGCAAAGGCATTTGACTGTGTGGATCATAACAAACTGGCTGACTCTGAGAAGAATGGAAATCCCAGAACATTTAATCATGCTAATGTGAAACCTATACTTGGACCAAGAGGCAGTAGTAAGAACACAGCAGGGTAACACTGTATGGTTCAAAATTGAGAAGGGTGTCGCCAGGGATGTGTCCTATCTCTGTACCTTTTCAACATGTATGCAGAGCAGATTATTCAAGAGGCTGGGCTCTATGAGGATATGTGTGGCATCAGTATTGGTGGAAGATCTATCAACAATCTGCATTACGCAAATACACAACTCTGCTTGCTTAAACTGAGGACCTCATGCACTTATGCAGAGGGTCAAGGACTGCAGCCTTCAGTATGGCTTGAGGCTCAATGTCAAGACAAAAATTCTCACCACTGGACCAATTGGTAGCCTCAGGATGGATGGCAAAGAGATTGGGATTGTTCACAGCTTTAGTTTGCTTGGCTCCAAGGTCAACACTCTTGGCACCAGCAGCCAGGAAATAAAAAAACGTACTGCGATGGGAAAGTCTGCTGTTAGGGACCTCTCCAAAGTACTCAAGAGCAATGGTGTCTCTCTGGAGACTGAGGTGTGCCTGATACAGGCCATGGTCTTTGGAATAACTTGTTATGCATCAGAGAGTTGGACAATGACCAAGGAGGATATAAGGAGAATTGATGCCTTTGAGCTGTGGTGCTGGAGAAGAGTATTGAATGTACCATGGACTGCCAAGAAAAGATTCATCCTAGAGAGGGTTAAACCAGGCTACTCCTTGGAGGCAAGGATTCTGGGGCTTTGTCTGACATACTTTGGACATGTTGTAAGGAGAGACAGGTTCTTGGAGAGGGACATCATGCTTGGTAAGGTGGAGGGACAGCGCGGGAGGGCAAGACCCTCTATGAGGTGGATTGATGCTGTGACTGGGGTAATTGGGATGGGTGTGTCAGAGGCAATGTGAGTTGGCACAGGATAGAGAAGGGCTTAGGGCTGTTGTACATAGGGTCGCTATGAGTTGCAAATGACTCGACAGCACATAACAACAACATGGTAATTCTAAAAAACAGTTGATGTAGAAATTAATGTTTTATTTTGTAAGATGAAGAGTTCTTGTCCCTGGAGGACAAGATGTTACCTTGACCCAGTAAATATATGGTTCAAATCCACCAGCTGCTCCCTGGGAGAAAAAGGCAGTCTCCTCCTATGTTAAGTCTGTGAAAACCTACTGGGGTCAGGTCTGAGTTGGTTCCAGTGGATAATACATAATTAATTTAGAGGATGGTCTTAAATTGGTCTTCCTGTGTCTAGGACACAAATTTTCTCTATACAAAACATCTACCTATTTGGGCAGGGCAAAATACATACTTCCATAACAAAACTATACCTCTCAAGTATGAGCAATATACACTAACTGTATAGAAAGAAATCCAACCATTTCCTAGTTTTACATTTAACATGAAAAGCAGCCACACACAATAAGCCAAGACTAGTTTTAAAAGGGAGGGCCAAATTATTATTTTTTTTAATTTGATTACAACCAATTTTGTTGGCATTAAAATTATTTTAAATTCAAATAATGAAAATAAAAACAAATTAAATTTGGTAAAAATGAGAATAGGAATTTTCCAGAAATTACAAATTTGAAGGGAGAAGTCAATTTAGAGAAAGAGACAAAACTCCATGTTTACAATGATTGTGCAGTTTGAAATTTCAGTAGTGCATCAGTAAACTTTCACATTTAGAGCTTTACCTTGAGTGAATAGATGTTTCTCGAAAAAAATCTCTCAATACTTTGTGCAAATAAATTGGTCTTCCATGTGCCTAGGACACATTTTCTCCATTTCTATATACAAAACATGTACCCATTTGGTGGGGCAAAATACATACTTCCATAACAAAACTATAATGTACCTCTCAAGTATGAACAATATACACATAATACACGGTATACAGTATTTACAAAGTAAAAAATACAAGCTGGAAGCAATTTTTTAACTCATCTTTTGCACTCGTTTATGGCAACAAGGCAGTTTTCATTTCTGTACCGATTTTCCTTTAAAGCATCCACATATTTTGGGAAAATGTTTTACATACATACTCCAATATCAATTAAGTTTGAACTTTCAGCAGTGTTTTTAAGTGTACTGCAATCAGCTCCTTATTTGGGTTAAAATTCTCAACAGTGTTTCCCATCCAGTGACTAGGTGGCTTTGGAAGAACACTAGGTGAAGGTGGGTCACTAAACTTTGCTCCAGCATAATTTTCCTTCTGGCTCACTTCAGTTACAAATGTCGGCTTTTTCAAATGAGTGTTTTTAATGTTCTCAGTATTTTTAAAAGGCTTTTTTTCCTGCTTCTGAGTCATATCAAACGAAAGAGAATTCTGCCAAAAGTTATTTTCATTTCTTTTTGCAGAGGTGATCTTGGTTAGTGGCAAGGTGTATTTGCTTTTCTGTCTGTTTATCTTTGGTGGTTCATACAAATGTATACCATGAACAAGCTGGCTGTGGGTAATGGCAATTTTCTCAGATTTTCCCATCTTTGACTTAAAAACCTATAAAGAAAGGAATATAAAAAGTAGAGTGTCAAGATTAATCTGTATCAGGCACATTAAATACTCTTTTTTAAAAAACCTTGTGGTGGAGTCCCTAGCAAGTTGCACTTCTGATAGAAAGTTTATACATCTCCAGCAGTTCCAATCTCTAGGCAGCTTTAAGGAACAGGCTTCTTCTCCAAAGCTACTACGTTAACTCATCTTTACAAGAGCAATTTTTGTATGAATTATATATATGAAAGAAACTACCAAGGCAATTAAAATTTTTTTCTCTCGAGAATTAGTAATTCCGTTTAACACTGACACCGTAACCACCATTATCATAGTCTAATAGCAAGCCAACCCTTCTGGGCATAGAACTACGTTCCCTGAAAAAGGGTCGGTACAGTGATAGTTGAAAAAAAAAACCAAAAAACCTTTCTCTCAAGACTGAAACACGAATCGTTACTCCACGGATGGCTTCAAGCAGGTAAGAAAATCAAGTCAACTCTGGCACTTGATCACATCCACTGAAACTTAGAAATGCCAAGTATATTGGACTCGCGAAGAGCAAAGTCTCAGTGCGACCGGAAGGGGCATCTCACATTCTAGTGGGCAAAACAAACTGTAGAGGCCGGCAGCAGCGCCTCGCCCGCCGTCCGCTCGCCGCCACCTTCACGAACCAGGGAAAATGTAGCACGTAGCGCGCTGACGTCACACGCGAGCTCCAAACCCCCCTGGAACGCCGCCAGCCTTCTAAATCAGGCTGTTGCTGGGGCACAGCCACTCCTCTCATTGGCTGCCTCCCAGGAGCCAATCAGCAAGGCCAGCGCTTGTCGCCCCCACATTCCTACCCCCTCGGCAAGAACCTTGGGGCGTCACGAAAACTTCCCTTCCGAGTAAACAGCCGTCCCCCGCCCCCACCCTACAGTGAGGGCCCCGAGCAGCCGCGAGTCGAGACCAGTGAAGGACCTGGGTCCAACTCGCGGCCCTCACCTCCTTCCTCAGCGGTGGTGGCCCGGGAGGCAGCGGGCCAAGGACAGGACTCGATTCTTCAATTTGGCTTGCGGCCGCCAGGACCGAAGCCGAAGCCTGATCCAGGACCTCGTCGTGCTCTGCGATCTGGCCCGTCGCAGGACTCCGTCTGCCCTCCAGACTCGGCCGGTGTTGCTGGAACTGGTGGAAGCGGCTGGGAAGCTGCCCCGCTGGGCTTGCCCGCACCTTCTTCTTCCGCCGCTTCTTCGGCGCAGCCCCCCGAAGCAGGGTACCCCCCGCAGTGGCGAGGCTGCAGTTGGTTAGAGGAACTGTGGCGCGAGGCTGAGGAGTAACACAGGGACCATCACCCCCAAGGAAGTGAGGGAGGAAGAGGGTCGGGGGCAGTGCCCGGGGGTCCGGGATCCGGGGCAAAGTTGGGGGGGCCGTGGTCACCATCGGAAGGGCCCCAAAGTAACCGCGGGCGGCAAAGCCCAGTGGTGCAAGGCGGCTGCCGAGGACAAGCGGCTCTCGCTGCGGGACAGAGACGACCGTCATGATACCGCAAGGCAAGTGGCTCAGTCAGAAGCGTAGAATGTGAGGCCTGCGGATCAGAGGGCGGCGGCTGCTAAGAAAGCTCCAGCAGACAGGAACATGGCTGGCGTGGTGGCCGCGCAGCAACAAATATCAGCAGCCCCAGCTCGGAGTGTTGTTGTCGGAAGCTCCACCCCTAGCCTGCCCACCTCCCAGCGGAGCCCCAATCGAAATGCTAATAGTACATCACGCCCTCATATCCCGCCCTCCGCTTCGGAGAGCCCCACATAAACAACCCGCTTGCTGCAGCCAGGCACAAAGGGAGCACATTGCGCAGGCGCTGCCTTTGGGCATTGCGGGCCGGAGTTAGTCCCTGAAAGTTAAGTTGCGTTTCAGACTCATATCCCTTCACTCTTGCTTCTTGCCCCCGCACCAGGCCGGTGTGACAGTCTAGGTTGAATTTGGTGGTGGAGGAGAGGAGAAACAATTAGAAACGTAGATGCTCGGCTTCTATCTGGTTTATTTCAAGACCGTCATAATAGCATTGCTGCATTTTTACAAATACTTCCAAGTTCACTATAAGAATTTCTTAATAGGATTCACGAGAAAAGTGAGTTTACATTTAAAAGTAATCTCCCATTCATTGAGTCCATAATCAAAGGGTAATCAGATAAAGGATTAAGGACGTAACTGACTTCCTGATTTAAATTGAGTTAAAAATAAAAGTTTTTAATCTGTAAACCGCCATTGGTTGTTTATTTTTGTTGTTGTTGTTGTTTATTCTTTTCACAGGGACTTTGAGATCGCGACTTTGAACCTGAATATTTAGGCTTGCATCTCTCTAATAGAGACCTCGCTTGCACTGTGCTCACACGCAAACAACACTTATGTCCCAGGCACTATCTACATAAATTACTTACTTTGAACCTCAGTAGGTAAACTGCTAATTTTAGAGATTAAATTTTTCAAAGATCATAAAGTAATATAAAAATATTTTCTTCCTAGTCTGGGCCTAGAAAGACCAAAATTTTAACTCATACTGCCTAGGACACATCATAGATTTTCAGTTGTTAGGTGGTATAGGGTCGACTCCCCCTCTTAGTGACCCTATGTACGACAAAAAGTAGAAACCCAGCCTGTTGATCTTACATCCTCTAACCAGTATCTTTCCCCTTTGTAATGGTACCAAATTAGTGCTTGGTAAATTTTTTCAGACTGATGGAAAATTGGACATTATGTAACAAACATACTGTTTTGCATCAAAATGTATTGTTTATCAACTTTTTTAGATTTTATTTCTTTTTATGTCTTCAACACCTTATAGTAAGTATTCGTGTTTGCTGAATGAATAGTAATCACAAAGCTTTTGAAGCTAAAGTAACTTAATGAGAAACCACATAAGGAGTCTGGAATTTGGTTGTTTAGAAGCTTAGCCCAGTGCTATTTCACAATCTCCATAGGTCTCACACTTGTCTTGAGTTAATATCACACTGTCCTGGAGAAAAATTTATCCGCCAGGCAAGTGATAATTGATAGGCAATTCAGTGAGGCCCTTGATACAAGACACCTATTACTATCTGTCTCTATTCAGTAAATGTTAGAATTATTATGTGATGTATAATTTACCCTTTTAAAGCCTGAAGGTTAGGCTCCTGTTAGCTTGGTGATAGAAGTAAATATGATACCCAACACTAAAAAAACCCAAACCAAAACAGATTGGAAAGTAAAATGGACCACTGTTGTTGTTAAGTGCCATCAAGTTGTTTGTGACTCATAGCGACCCTATGTACAACAGCCCTAAACCGTGTTCTATCCTGTGCCAATCGCATTGCCTCTGACCCACCCATCCCGATTACCCCAGTCACTAAATCAATCCACCTCATTGAGGGTCTTCCCCTCCTGCGCTGTCCCTCTACCCTACCAAGCATGATGTCCCTCTCCAAGGACCTGTCTCTCCTTACAGCATGTCCAAAGTGTGTCAGACGAAGCCCAAGAATCCTTGCCTCCAAGGAGTAGCCTGGTTTAACCCTCTCTAGGATGAACCTGTTTGTTTTCTTGGCAGTCCATGGTACATTCAATACTCTTCTCCAGCACCACAGCTCAAAGGTGTCAATTCTCCTTCTATCCTCCCTAGTCATTGTCCAACTTTCTGATGCATAACAAGTTATTGCAAAAACCATGGCCTGTATCAGGCAGACCTTAGTCTCCAGAGAGACACCGTTGCTCTTGAGTACTTTAGAGAGGTCCCTAATAGCAGACTTTCCCATCGCAGTACGTTTTTTTATTTCCGGACTGCTGGTGCCAAGAGTGTTGACCGTGGAGCCAAGCAAACTGAAGCTGTGAACAATCTCAATCTTCGCCATCCATCCTGATGCTACCGATTGGTCCAGTGGTGAGAATCTTTGTCTTCTTGACATTGAGCCTCAGTCCATACTGAAGGCTGCAGTCCTTGGCCCTCTGCAGTAAGTGCATGAGGTCCTCCTCAGTTTCAGCAAGCAGGGTTATGTCATCTGCATAACGCAGATTGTTGATAGATCTTCCACCAATCCTAACACCACACTTCTCTTCATAGAGCCCAGCCTCCAAATTACTGGATTTCACCTTAGTCCTTTATTATAAACCCTGTAGTCTCTCCTTTAATATTCTATTTTCATCTATAAACCTGGACTCTGGAGGTAGCAAAATGCAAAGGTAAAGTAAATCTTGGAAAGATTTCAGGGCCTTCTCAATTTCTCTGTTCTTAATTTGTCTACCTTGTAAAAGATTTGTCCTCTTTTTTTCTTTGTACCCATCCCTAAAATATTTTACTTAAATATCATAAGGATGGAGGGATAGCACAAGAAAGGAAGACCCAGGATGAGATGGATTGCCACAGTAACTGAGATAATTGGGGTTAGGTGTGTTGAAGACAGATTGGCTCAGAATAGAGCAAGGTTCAAAGCTATTGTACAAAGTTGTGACTCTATATTGATAGAGTCACAGTCAACTCGATGGCACATAACAACAGTATAAGTAAGGGAGCTCTAGTGGCCTAGTGGTAAGAAGCTGCTCTGCAATCCAGAAGGCAAGCAGTTCAAATTGACCAGCCTACTCTGCAGGAGAACAACATCTAATTGTCTTCTCCCGCCCCACTGTGATTTCATTATCATTGTTGCTTGGATCTTCAGTGCTTAAGGAACTGCTGGATTTTAATTTGATCTAACTGTTAAAGTCTGAATTGTCTCTCTCTCTCTCACACACACACACACACACACAATCATCGTCTATGCTATTGGATGGAATCAAATTTGTGAATAGGTTTAACACGTTGATATGTACCGAAGAGTCAGAACCAACCCATAGCTGACCCTCTGATGGGTTTTCAGAGGCTGTTAATCGCACTTTAGGGAGATTGCCCATCCTTCTCTCATGGAGCAGCTGGTAGCCTTCAGGATTGCAGTGCAACTTCTTGTCACTAGACTGCCTGAGCGCCATATTATGTTAATGAGACCATATTCCAGTAGAGTAAATATTAAAACAATCAATTTTGACATTTGAAATGAGTAGATAAGACACAAAGAAGCTAGCCAGATTGAGGGAAATAAATTCCATCTCATTAAAGATCACCAAGGAACCGAAGTTTGAAAGAGCCAGGGATCCTCCCTTTTGATCCTGAATGGGTTCTAAGAAGTGTGTTCCTACCTGCTGTGATTGATCCATCACCTTATGTTGTTGTTGTTATGTGCGACTCATAGCGACCCTATGTACAACAGCCCTAAACTCTGCTCTGTGCTGTGCCAGTCGCAGTCTCTGACACTCCCATCCTGATTATGGCAGTAACTGCATCAGTCCACCTCATAGAGGGCCTTCCCATCCTGCGCTGTCCCTCCACCCTCCCAAGCATGATGTCTGAGGGGACAGCAGAAACCCCATTTTTTATGAACCCCCATTAATACCAGAAGCAGAAGTGGGCCATAAAAATTCTTAGCTTAAGGGAAATACAAATGCCCTGGTTAAAGTCCTATCTGTCCTTGCAAAGTAAAGAATTAACTAGTCTCTACATGACACAAAAAGAGTAAAGGCGGGCAAAGTAGCCAGCCCTTCAAAAGCCAACCCACATTACTGATCCCCCGACCCACCAACCATGATCTCAATCTCCCCTATTAAACCTATTCACAGTGGCACCCAGGAAAGCCATAAAAGCAATTGTGGAGGGAGAGTCGGGGCTTTTTCCCTCCCCACCTTCCTACTGAGGGAGATACTCTGGAATAAAGTGCTTATTTGTATTTATGAACGTGTGCATTATTCTTTTGAGGGGTATTTCATGGGTAGAACATTTGGTGCATTGGCTGGAAAACTGCTCCCCTCCAAAAAAAAGAATCCTTAACACGTTGAGCTCTTTAATCCCCGCCCAGTAAGTTCTGCAAGAACCCTCTCTGTGTCTGCTGTCTCTGTCTATGTATCTGGTGGTTTGAACCGTAAACCTGAGCCCAAGTTTCTGGGCAGACATGCCTGACAGAGCTCCAGCATGGGCAAGTTGGAGACATCTGCTCAGGCCCTTGGAGAGGACAGGGTTCCTCTAGTCTGGTCTGGTCTGAAGGAACTAAAGGCGGGTCGCTCCCTTCATCAGGAGCCCGTACTCAGGAAAGGCTGGGATTCCAAGTTTTGGGTTTGATGCACACACTGTATTGTGTTACCTGTTCTACTGCCTGTCTTTGTTCTTGTCCTATTGTTGCTGGGCCATCCAGATCAAGTCACATAAAGGAGCCTGGATGGAACCGTTAAAATAAAAACAGTAAGTAGCCGGCAAATCTCGCAGACAAGGAAGGATTCAAGACACTAAAGAGCTGAACAGAAGATTCCAAAACGGAGCACTGAATGACAAAGCAAAATATTACAATGAAATGTGCGAGGAGCTAGAGTCGGAAAGTCAAAAGGGCAGAACTCGTTCAGCATTTCTTAAGCTCAAGAAACTGAAGAACAAATTCAAACCTCTAGTTGCTACAATCAAGAATGCTTTGGGCAGAATGGTAAATGATCCAGGA